TCCTGGTGAGGGAGACTAACCATAACAGTATCACATCAAATACTGTACTGTTGTATAGTTTTTAATATAATACAGGACACAAATGATTTTTACATCAGTATTTTCAGTTTTAATTTTAATTTTACATATCATGCCAATTTTTTCTGTTTTAGGGATGTATAATTTCAAATTTATGGCCCACAGAGCTATCTGATATAACATACACCTTACATGAGCAGTGCAAAGTGATAGTGGCACACACTGACTTTGATGCAGTCAGTAATGCCTGTAATATCATAAGATGTGCAGGGTATTTATCATTTATCATGAGCTGCATTCATGTGTTATTTTGTGGGCTAAATAAGTGTCAGATTAGTGATACTCAAGGACCATCTGGAGCGTACTTCCTAAGCATAGCACTGGTCATGGTGTGGAAAGTTGGTATGGGAGGTGTTTATGAGAAAGAGGCGGCTGGACTGAATGAGCTACAGAGGCGGTATTCAAAGCCAGTGTGTGTGCCGCTGTCACTCACTTCAAGTTGCGCTCATGTTACAAGGACAAAATGCAGTATGTCAAAATAACAAAAGAACAATTTTACATTTTAAGGTGAAAGTGTCTTGTAAAACGAGTAAAGTATGGTGTTATGACGAGAAACGTTTCTCATTATAACGAAATAGCATTTTTTCTTTCTCATGGTGGTAGCAATACGCTGCCTAGGCGGTTCTTATGTGTACAATAGTCCTGCTACCGCAGCCCGTCCTCATTATCAGGGCATCAAACTAGGGTAGGTTTGGTCAAATGTGCTTATGCTGAAGTGGGAGAATCGGCGCAGTTGAGACCATGTGTATGCTAATTAGACTGCGCAGTGCAATTTCCATGCAGACCACCACTTATGGCTGTCGCAGGTGTATTTGCAATTTACCTGACAAGCGTGTAGGCCAGGAAGCACGAGGTCAGGTACACCAGATGCATTTTAATGTCCACACCAACTTAAAATTAACCCTTAAATCTACAACTGATCTGCTGGAATTCAATCAGAATAATTTATTACATATCATAAAGAATAAATAAGATAAATAAACTACTTCTCAGTATGTGGCTATTGTGCAGCCAGAAGTGATCTGCAGTCAGTGTTTCGAAATCCAAACCCACCTTAAAAAATTACACATTTACAACTAGTAAAAGTGGCTCACCCTGCAGACGTCTCGATTAATCCTGTTACATAGCATTTAAAGTCAGCCCGACCTCGCTCCTGTCACTGTTAAGTTAGTTTTTTCAAAGAACAGGTTTCACACAGACAACTTCGTTTCTACTATGGCGATAATCATTGTATCTGTTTTTGCATATGGTGATGTGATCAGCATTTTAATCTACAGTAGGGTGACGTGTGTGCGTCCATGACTCTGTCACCAGTTCACCATTTGTCCTTCATTAGACACTGTTGGTAGGTCCAAGACCTGACCCAGTCATCTCACCATCACAGTTTGGCCCTTGTCAGTCACTCAGATCCTTACACTTGCCCATTTTTCCTGTTTCCAACACATCAATTTTGGGGACTAAATGCTCACTTGCTGCCTAATATACCCCACACAATGACAGGTGCGCACATTTTAGGCTGCGCATAAAAGTTCACTGCATCACTGATCACTAAATTTGCAAACATTGTTGAACACATCCATATGTGTCTTGTTCCTGGAGTTTAGTCACTAGTTTAGCACTGCAATTAATCATTTAATCATTTATGAATATTTTTGACAATTAAGACAATTAATGTCAACTGACTAATCAGCTCAGCACTTTAGGAATTTTTGTGTAATGTTTACTGACATATTGAAAATAAAATAACAGCTTACATGACTCAGCATTGGCATTTTTAGTCTCTTACCATTTCAGTTTGTTACAATTGAGCATTGGTAAACTACAAAATACCACAGGATGGTTGCATAAAATTGCCTTTTAAACAAAGCCTTCACCTTTTATTTTTTTATCACCCTAATTCACCTAACTTTCACAGTTTTTCAGACATGGTGGAAACACAAACACAGATGGCTAAAATAAACTTTTATCCCCTGATTTAATTTCTGAGTATAGGGTCTGAGGGTCTGTTTCATGGAAAAGGTGCTAAAGATTTTGCATGGAGTGCATCTCACCGTCTGACAACTACAGTATAAATCATGTCATGACAGTCATGTGGATAAAAGAACGATGAGGTTTTGCAGCTTCAAATGACAAAACATATGACTTCTAATACTTAAGTTTCCTGGGATATAAAACAAATCTGCATTTGAAGCTTTACATTTGAAAAGCAAGAATGTGGACTTCTGCTTAATAAATTGCAAATGATTAATAAATAATAAAAATTGTTGGCAAACTAATTGTCTGTCAATACACTAATTGACTTGGCACTGAGTAAAAATTTTTGTGTAATGATGCCCCTATGCAGAAAAATAGTTTCACTGACACAAGTCAAACAGTACAATTCACCCCTACCTTTAAGCTAATCAAACTCAAAATGATTTTCAGATGCAGTAAATTACTTCTCTGCGTGGTTAAAAATAGGCTTTCTCATGTGCCACAACTGAAGGTCTGAGTTTCTCATAAATTATGTGACAGCACATCTAAACATAGCAAAACCTCTGTGTGCGACTTTCACCCATTAGATGAAAATACACCTACCCACTGTTTATCCCTCCTGAAGCCAATTAAGTACACCAAGGTGTTCCTAAAACTTAATTAGCTCTAGCACTGTAAGCAAGCAAAGAGTTAATTGGTTATCAAAAATAAATGACTAACACTGTTAAATGATTTTCTCGCCTTTACTGTGTGCTTAAGGTACCATGTGATTTATTTAATTTAAAAATGTGTAAATGAACCCTGCACTCTCTAGTGCAATTACCTTTACATTAACAAGCTTTTGCTTTCATATTTGTGTTTTTCTAAACATTAAGATTTGTTTTTTTTCCCCCTCAACTTGCTCTGATGTATTCATGTACATGGTGGAACACTGCACTGTATCCAACCCGACCTCCCACTAAGCACTGGATTATAATTAAAAATAATCTCGCTCCGGTGTTAACTTTCTGCTCGCTCACAGTGGAAAAGAATATTGCATAGAATAATTTTAAATAACGTGTCTAAGTTTTCTCATGCTGTGGCTTTCAAATATGCAGGCCCTAATCCCTCCAATAACCTTTGAGGACCAGAGATTTGTAATTCACTATCTGGAATCAAAAGCACACTCAGAAGGTCGATGCGACAAATGTCACCTGATGGTTATAAACTCACTGATGACTTTTGTGCTCACTGCTGGCGAATTGTCACGCTCTTTCTTACACTCTGCTTCTATGACTATTTATGTTTGTATATACAGTGTATATAGTAGTAGAGTAAATGCAATTTTAATGCATTACTTTACTATATTAGTATTACTTTAATTAGGCCCTGCAGGAATTTACAGAAGAAAGTCCAGGTCAGCGATTCTTGGTGTCATGAGCTTTGAATGGTAATGTACAGTACTACTATCAAGCCACTGCTACCAGTTGCAGCTGACAGTTCAGTGATGACTGGGGTAGCTGAGCTAACATTACTGCTAGAATGTGTCAATTAAATAAAGATGGGGTTTTGCTAGCAAGTTAATCTCCTAGCATGTTTTCTGACTGATGCCAAGGTATTATATGAGAAATAGCCTACTCAATTTGTACATGCCATGATTGGAATGACTGCAGCATTACTATCATGATACTTGGAAAGTGTTATTCCGCTTATACAAATGGCCTCTTCCCAACATGAACATCGTGTATATGGCTCTTTTAATGCCTCTTTTAGGTTACAGTGGATATATTTCAGCACAAAGTGATATTATTTTCCTTTTGTTATAATGAGCTGTGTTCTTTTCATTATCTGAACAAAGCGAGAGTGGAAATCTTTCACCAGAAAATGGTCAACACAGTAAAAATCTATTGAAAACTGTAACTATGCAATTCAAGTAATTAAAACATTTTCAACATACACAAAGGATATCATGTTAGAATGAGGTTGGCTAGCTGTAAATCTTTTTTCTCTCAAAACTGTTTCAGGTGAACTTTGATACTTGGTTGTTAAAGCTAAAAAAGAGGAAACAACTGTGAAAACACTGGAAGTAAATGAAAGGGAACATTTAATTGATTTGACTATGCAAACCCTCTTTTTTTGTACCCGATCAATGTAAAAATTAGCTATTCCTAGCAACTGCTACTATGGCTATTGAATGGCTGGGGCAGAACAAACTAGTAACAAACTAGTTAACATTAAGACAATGTAAGGATCAATGAAAGTAATAGCAATTCAGTCTGATCATTAAAGTGCCATAAGGATACACTAGGACTTGTCACTGCGCTGATTATTAATTGCCTAATGGTCCGAGGGTGCTCACCAGCACAGTGTGACCAAGGCTTTAAATCAGTGTGCAAAATGAAATCCTGCTTTTCCCCCCTAAACTGTTGTAAGTTCTCTCTGTCAGGAAACTATCTCACACTTAAAGGAAGTGGCAAATTAAATAATAAAAGAGAAACACAATCTGCAGTACCTTCCCAAACAAATCCATACCTTTCTCTTCCCTCGTTCCAGTTTAATATAAACACAGTTTAAGACCTATTCAACTCAAAATTCAATCTAATTCTACGTGTACTTTCATCAAAATCTGCCAAAACTTTGAATAAATACTCTATTTCCAGCATGCATGGTCAACTTTATATTATTTGCATTTTTTGGCATTAATTTGCAGCTTTTAGAACATACTGAGCGTACAAGTGGGTAGCAGAAATTGGGGTAATGCTGTGGAAGTGGTTTTTGACATTTCTGTGAATGTCTTGGAAGAGAAAACACCTTTAAATCACCTTTAAAGCCTAAAGCACATAATTATTTGAATCTAAAAATATATACATTTTGCAGCTTGAGTCATCAGTTTTACAGAATAAATCTCTGCTGCCTTTTGCATATTATTAGCTAAGTGAGATTTAAGTGTATTCCACTGGGTACAGTACCTTGGCTTTGTCGTAAAGGGCATGGTTGTCCAAAAGCATCCGTCGCTCCATTCGAGCGAACCTCCTCAGGTCCCTCTCAAACTGCTGTAAAAGCAATTGATAGTGTTTTACTTGTCTGTCTTTATGGTACTGAAATGAAATAGTGATCCCTGAATTCATGTGTTATTTTTGGAGGACTTTCTACATTTTTAAGTCATTAGCCAGCAGAGGGTTTGGATATCAGTCATTAGTGATATTTTATTTTTATAAGTTTGTTAACTTGCATGTGATGCATTAATTTTTAATATCTTTCTTCTTTTGATATGATTTAGTTATCTGAAATATGTCTCCTTAGACTCAAAATCAAATCAAATCAAAATAAAGTCTACCTAGAACTTAACCTGGATGTTGTTCTTGTGCCCAAACAAAATCTCAAAAATCCTTCATACCCTGGAGCCAGTCCATCCCAGAAGAGCAAAGGCATAACGATCCATAGGTGGTGACACCAAGTCCACGCGCACCGCCCTCCAGTCCCTGCTGTCCCCCTCACCACTGTTGAGACCTCCTTCCACTTGACTTCTTTCCAGGCGCAAGATCAGGAAACACTTTGCAAAGTGGTCCATGGCTTCAAACCTGTAGGTGGGAAGCTTGTGCATATCAAAGGTGGAAGCCTGGTATTCACTGTAGAGCAGAATACCCTGGTAGAGAGAAAAAATAAAGTATTGCAGTAAAAATAAGTGCAGAAATTGATCACTGATGTTTAGATCTTTTTCTTTATAAAATGCTTTCTTTGTATGTAGCACACACTAATCTCTTAAGAGATTATCTATAACAATTAAAACACTTTACAATAGCTGACTGGAATATTTATAGAATACATATAAGTCAATATCAAATGCAATGCAATTCATGCCACTAAAATAATGAAAAGCTTTATAGGTCTTGGCAAGTGACTTTAAGGAGGCCAGCCTTTCTCTCATGCTCAAGCAAAGACCCAGGGGCTTTAACAGCAAAAACCCAGCCACCTTTCTTCTTCAGCCCAGACTTCAGAGCAGCCAAAGAGAGCTCAATCTGAGGATCAGAGCCTGCACAGTGCACACTGGATCAGCGAAGGTTAAAAGTAATGAAGAATAATCTGTAGGCAGGGCACTGATCAGAAGTAAATCTTGTTAGGTAAGCATTGTATTAATTGCAAAACTGAGGTCTAATTTATTAAATTTTACTATTACAATAATTAAGAGGAGATCCTATAACAACCTGCATGTTTATCTCTATCACTGACTGGTAGAAACTATTTAGTTTTTAATTTGTATTTAAAATAAAATAGATTCAATTACTGAATGACTTTATATGCTTTAAACTTGGAGATGTTATTCATTAAGGGACCAACAGACTCAGTTTGTCCAGGCAATCAAAACAACTTCTCTGTTGTAACAGATGAGCTGTAGAAAGTTTGGTACCATTCAGTTTTACATATCAGTCCAAAAATGGTTTTCATTAACATATTTAAGTAGAAAGGTTTTACTGGAATAATATTGTCTGTGTAGTAATGATGCAAATTTGTCTGACCTAAAATTGAGCCTTCATTTAAGGTACAATGAAAACTATTTGTGTGCAGACAGAAAGACACCAGACCGTTGTGTTGAAGCCCATCACAGAGCAACTCCCTGTTTCTGGATTAATTTTAAGATTATTTAAATCCTCAGCAGAGTGATGCGGTGCTGCTGTCAAAAACCTGACTGCAATTTTTACAAAATGTTATTGCTTTCCATGAGGACAATGACTTTCTTTAAAAACATATTCTTCATAATCATGGAGATAAAAGGTGGCTTATACATGCCTGGAGGTATTGAAAATGGTTGAGTCAAGGTTAAGTATGTATTTTTAAAAAAGGCAAACTACAGTATATGCTACCAGTGAAGAGAATTTTCTGAGGATGAGAAGAGTGGTGGCTACTGTGATCTGTGGTACATTAATGTTTTATTTATTTATTTATTATTTTGAGTTTAACTTAGAATAACTTTTGTGAGAAAGATAACTTTTTGTGACACAAAAATATATGACCTCCTCAACATTAGCTCCGTGGTAAAATTTTACCTTTATATACTTTGCACCAAAAGTTTGACACATTTTTATAAGTCTCTGCAGGCAACAATGCTTGTGCAAATCTCAATTAACATTATACTGTAGTATCTAATGATAATACTTAAAATCACAAACATAAATAGGTCGCAGTCAAATGGCATGCTGATAAAAAAAAAAAGAAAGAAAAAAAGAACTGCGGCAACAAGAGAAATAAAATACTAAAATATACATATATTCTGAGAAAAATAAAACATTGTTTTGGGGAACATTTCCTCATAGCACCTTTAGCACACTCATGTGCCACCAATTTTATATTTTCACATTTTTAAAAATTGAAATGTGCAGCCTGAGATGTTGCTACTTGAATTAGAATACAGTAATAACATTTAATAAGTGATTAAATCAAGATCAGAGTCAACTTGATTGGAGAAATTAAACTAAGGTAGCCACAGGGTTTCTGGGTGTATTTTGCCAGAGTGGTAAAAAATTGGATGGGTGATCCAACAGAGCTACAAGCCTCCAGTCAGCCATCTCCAGTCCCCAGTAAAAGATTCCACTCCTTAGATAATGGAAATCTCTGCCAAGTAAGATGTCACTGTGTTGAAGAGCAAAAAGCTGAGAGGGCCACTGATGAGAAACAAAGCCCACAGTGCAGAGAACAGTGAAATGGAGTGCGTGCAACAGAGTGAGAAAAGCCTTCAACCTGTAAGAGAAAGAAGTAGATGGACTAGTACTGTGGGTAGCCTGAAAGACAGAAAAGCAAAGTGAGGGAAGAGAGTCTGTGAATTGATTACCTCTGGGACTCACCCTGGCTGATTATGCTTCTCCATGGATGTAGGACTGTTAAGGCGATTAAGATTACAAATAGTCAATTTAATTCCAGTGACCAGCATAATTGTTGGAATACCACTCTCCACTCACCAGCCATGAATCTGCCACACTCTCCTTAAAGAGCAATAACTGGGGAGGCAAGTGTGGCACGCAGCCCCTCTGTCTATCCAACTGATGACTTAGGTTAATCACAAAGCATTAAACACCTTGTCAGCATAGCCCGAATTGCCTACTAAACAGTCCCAGCTGAGCGTGGAACTGCACAAGTTATCAGACAAGGACAATGCTTCCCAGAGGCCACGGAGAAGAGATAGCAAGATATCCAAGGTAGAGATGGTGAAAACCTTGAGTGGAACACTGGGAGCAGATCTCACAAAAGATCACCAGCCCTCTCCTCACCTTTCCTTCTCAAATCACCTTCAGGAGAGGGAATCAATTGTCATGCAATTACAGGTAAAATTTCTTGATATCACCCCCTGCTGCAGCTCGCCCGCTGCAATTACAGATAACCATTCACCTTCCAATAATAGGCAGGGACAGGGATTCATAAAGTTCCCTTTATGTTCAGTAATAGCTTAGCTAGAGGCAGTGACAGCTCCCACCTAGATAATGAGGCCAGAATGACAGCATAAAAGCACTTAAACACTGACTAATCTGAAATTAAAATCCCCTGGAGCCACACTTGAGACAAGTTGTGGTAGAAGGTCTGCAACCCATCTCATGTGTAAGGCCGCAAATGTAGGTCACTCCTTATTCCAGCAGATACTTCGGTCCCTCCTGGCACTACATCTCTTCAGCCTTGAATCATATTGATGCCTTCAGAGAAAAGTATTAATGAGTTATGGTAACAGCTGCACAGACCATTAAGTAGCTGAATATGGATGCCCTTCCTTCAGTGAGGTTTGAGGCACTTCAGCCTACACACATACAGTATAGTCACACTGCTTTCTCTCACTCTTGCTTTTTGTTTGACACACAAACACAAACACACACACAAACAAATCCACCATTAAAACAGGATGTCATGAAGTTCCCCGTCTCAGCATCACCCAGGGCTGTTTAGCCCAGTAGCGCTCTGTAATCATCTCCCACTCTGCAGGTAATGTCAGTGAGCATCTGAGAGTAAGCTTCTTCCACCAGAACTGTTTACAGAGGGAATTACAGAGGAGGACAGCAGGAAGATAATCATTCCCCAAAGCTTTGCCAGTGAGCACTGAAAAAAAAAAGTTGTGACTCTGGAAATTGTGATATAAAAGCAAAGGTTTTTTCTTCATTTAATTATTTACTCTGGGCTTTTTTCTTCAGAGAGTGGCACGAGCGGTCACAGCAGCCACCTGCATCCAGAGAACTAGCGCAATGTTAACAGGGATGCGAGGCACTCTGATCTCATCTCTCCTTTTCTCTGACTCAGAGAAAGAGATTTCAAAATGTGTCTTCAAATCACAGATAAGTGTGTGTTAGCAAGGACTGTTTGAACTGAGCTTGGACTTTGATTCACAGCTTAAAATGCAGCAGTTTGTGTGCCTATGTGTGACTGTGTGCTTGTCCATCAGTATTTCTTGAAGACTTTGATGTGTGTGTGTGTGTGTGTCCTCTCTCTCTGTGTAAAAGTAGCCATTACTACTCAGATTTTATTTGGAGCTCAAACTGCATATGTGAGTGCAAAATAATCTCAGCTGTATGGGCAGCTGTCTGCATCACTTATTCAACCAAAGGGAAAACTCTCTGATCCCTAACTACATCAACTCAGACCAAATGCAGAACAATAAAGCCTGAGCTGAATTGCATTATAATGGCAGAAAAGCACAGAGAGCTCAGTCTTCAGATAGCAGCACTTATACAGTATTTAGAGACAGTGATGATGGATGGATCGAGGATGAAACATGGCCCTTTCCAGCTCTCCATTGCTATTATCAGGGCCAAGCTGAATCTCATCTGTCTGCCACAGAAGCTGGTGGCTGACCTTGCCTCTGTCCCCAAATTATGCTTGGAGAATATCAGCAGGAGGAAGGGGGGAGAGAGAAAAAATGATGAACCCATTTTTACAAGGACGTTACTGGATAGATGTATTTTTAACTCCCTGCAGGCTGAAGACGGGTGCTGAATGGTGCAGGAGCTGCCCATGATGTTAGGCCTGAGTGAAGGCACATGTGTCCCCAGGGGCTCGATTGCAGATGACAAGGTTAGTGGACTTAGAGCGAACCTCTGCTACCTCCACTTAATCACTGTCTCTTGTGTCCTGGTCCCTGCAGGCCAGTCCCCTCTCCATCCCTATTCCATCCAGCCTGCTGAGAGGAAAGCTCCCGGTCATATCACACTGTCCCTTCTTAGACACCCAAAGCCTTTTTAACACCTACCCTACCCGTCTAATTCACTGTCTCACATCTCTTCTACCTCTTTACACATTCACACATACTTTCACACTTTCACCTCGCTCCCTCTACCTATAGTGAAAGCAAGTGGTGAGAGCTGAACACGAGAACATACAGTAAGTAGAAAGTAATTATTGTCAAGATGGACCTCTGAAGGAGTGGAGGCATGTGAAGGTGTGGATGGAAGAGGGGTGGAGAGTGAGGGGATTTATTTTTAAACTCAGCCATGACAAAAAGAAGCTGAAAAAGCTGGCCGCGAGGCTATACAGTGTTGTGGGGTCTCGCTCTTCATCAAACTCATGAGCCCCTTTAACTACACATTAATCTGAGGGAGTAGATGACAGAGTCCTTCCACATCCTCTCTTTTGGCTTTGGAGATCCGGTTTTGCTTTTGTGTCATTATGTTCAGT